TTTCATTTCATTTTCTGAATATATCTCCCTCTCTCTCTGCAAACTTTTCTTCCTTTTCTCTCATCCCTCTTTACCCAAACCCTCAAATGTTTACATTTTCTTTTGATCTCAAGAATCCATTAAGATTTTGGTACTAGTTCCTTATACCAAAATGATGAGCATATCGAGGGCTTTGTCTTGACCGGTGGAGATCGAATTCCGGTGAAGTTGATTTTTGGGCTTTTCTCCTCTTCTCTCTTTAAGGTAAGGATTTCTTTGATCTTTTTCAATACCTCGTCTATAGATAGACAATTTCACATGTCATAGGTTTATGTATTTTATTTTAATCCTTCGATGGTGCTTACACTTATGCAAATCTGAAAATTATATTCATGTGCGAATTTATTCCCTTAACTACTTGAATATGCCTAGAGCTACTTGTGCCTATCTTCACATGTGAATCTCATGTGTTGTAACCTTGTTTCCTTCTATTTGTACTATTTAGTTGTTCAAACTTGTGCAATAGATGTTGTTTCAAGAGCATGTCCTAACTCTGACTTAAATTATCTAACTCAAACGGAAAACTTAATGGGTGGTAATGGGTTGCGAATTTTTGGACAAGATTACTAAGATATTGATTGGTTGACGGGATGCGTTACCTATTTGGAAGTTAAAATCTTGTGCAAGTGGTTTTTGGAACCTTTGAACGGAGCGGTTGTATTCGGACCCTAGGTATTTGGTGTAAGGAGGGATTTGGGCAAGGCCCATTATTACTGTCTCTTTTGAGGCCCAACGGTTGGCGCTACGCGTATAACCGTTGGTAGGCATCCGAGGTTAGTTCTGCAACAAAGCAGCGAAAGAGGGGGCATATCGAATAATCCGCGTCCGATTCTTGTGGTTGGGAGGACGAAGTCTCTTTGGGGGATTTCTAGATTTCTAACATCTAACCTTGTAATCCTTTACTATTGAATGATTATCATGCTTCATTACTTATTTGTTATAATTGTGATGGTGTATTGGATTGGGAAAAAGGAATGAGGTGTGTGTACGTTTATTGGGCATTCAAAGCTCATGGCGTTTCATGCTAGGTATCGAAGAAACGTACGAAGCCAACGAAGAGTCAAAGACATTTGAAGACTTAAGTTTTCCTTAGAGAAAGTTTGGAACCATTTTGCTCATTAGTCTAATTGTGCTTTTATTTATTCTTTTGGATTGTAATAGTAATGGAACTCGTTTTGTAAATTTAAAATTTGAGACACTGTAATTATTATTTATCTTGTAATCCTATGCCTATCTCTGCATTGCTTATGAGACCTTGCGTCAATGCCTTTTAAGATCTGTCAAAAGGGTAGTGTGCTACCTAAGAAAGCTGGACTTAAAAGGGAGGCTAACTTGACTCCTCTGACGATCTGGGATCTTACTCGGTTATTGGTCATAGGACTCATTAGTGTCACTCCCTAGACTCCTAACTTTAGATAAACCCTGTACTTAATTGATAATATATTCTCTGAAGTTCGCGATTTTTGGAGCGTCACACGTGTATTGATGATATGCCTCCGCCAAGGACTTAGCTTGGGAGGACTTGGAGCTATAAGGGTTTTATTTTGTTTAATTGATGTACAAGCCTTGGGCTTTACTTATACTAAGTTAAACTCATTTTGTTATACTCAAGTATTGACTTGGAAAGATGTGGCCATCAGGGCATAAAATTACTTAATTCTCCCTTTATTTCAATTCATGTACACATGTCATATGTTATAGATTCAAGATCTAGAATTTATGAATGCATACACGTATATGTCATTGTTTGCATGATCAAGGATTATGAATGAAATATTAAATAAGATGTTATTGATCAATTGTAAGGAATATTAGGAGATGAGTATTGTTATTATTTTGGGGAGTTACAAATAGAAGAAAAAAATTGCACATATAGGGTTTGGTAATTTTGTTTGGCTTCGTATCTCAACAAATAAAAAAATAAAATAAAATAATTTGAACAAATAGAAGAATTTCAAGAAGAAAATAGAACAGATAGGCAAATTTGAACATATAGACAGTTTATATAAAAAAAATTGGGCAGATAGAAATTTAAACATATAGAAAAAAAATTTAAACAGATAGATATAAATTTGAACAGATAGTCAAATTTTTTGAACAGATAGTCAACAAAAGTCAACAGATAAAAAAGTCAATAGATAAATTAAAAGGTAAAATTGAAAACAAAATGCCATTTAAAACAAATAAAATGACTTCTTACCAAATTATTTTATAAAAAGTGGACGTCTCACCAATTAAAAATATTTATTGGACCTAATATTTTATACCCTTCTTAGCTTGGACTTTTCACCAATTATCTCTTGGAAAGATGGTTTTTTAGGAGAAGATATCTGGTAGGTCTGCTCTACCACGTGACCGTGTGCCTATAACAAAACAGGTGATTGCTTTATTTGAAACATAGAAGAAAAAATAAGAAATAATAGTTACATAACCAATAAGATTGTAAGAACATATCAACTAAGATATAAGACAGATCTATAGGATATTTTCTCCCTTTTTAGTAATTTTTTGATGGAAAAATATCAAATCAGTAAGACAGTAAAAAATTATTTGCATTTTCATAGTGGTGCAATTTTACTATGTGCATAGTGCAAATCTTTCATGTCCATGGTATAAGTACTTACTATGTGTCAGAGTTGCATCACAAAAAATTTCATCTCAAGTACAATAATTTATCCATTGTTACACTTATTTGCAATTTCTCCCTTTTTTATGAAGTAAGAAAGTTAGGACAAATTACACTTTGCTCCATTTATATTTGTTATTTTTTCATTTTGATTCTTAATTATTATTATTATTTTATTTTATTTTTTACTTTGATCATTCATGTTTTAAGTTTTTCTCCTTTTATTTCTTTCTAAAATTTACTTTTATTCAAAATTAGACAAAAAAATTTCACATTAACTATTATATGACATAAAAAATATATTATTATATTAAAGTTTGGGTTTGTCTCAAAAATGTGAGTCATATATAATAAAATATTTTTATGATAGTTTGTTTAATATGTCATTTTCATGTTTAATTGTAGGCACAAATTAATTTTAAAACAAATTGAAGAAAACTTTGATAAGACAGGGTTAAATAGAAAAAAAAAAAAAAAAAAAACTTTAATGGCGAATGTGGGAAAATGGTCAAATATAAAAGGGGAAAATGTAATTTATCCAGAAAGTTGTGTTTGAAATTTTTATTTTTATTTTTTTGTTGACCCTTTTACTTGTATAAAAAAATGTGAAAGGTTTTTGTCTGACATTTCTATTTTACATTTGTTTTAGTTGTATAAAAAACGTAAATAGGGGGATATAATGATCCTTTTGCTTTAGTAGAAACCATCATTTTAGATGCATTGTACATTTGGCAATATCATAAATAGGTGGTTTATTAATTTATTGATTTATTTGAGTCACCTTGCCTTTTTATTTTTTACACATCTTGTTGTAATAAATAAAAAAGTCAATTTATAGATCATACCCAAAATAATGTTAGTTTTAAAATTTTTACTTTTTTAATAATCTTTTAACTTTTTTTTAACTAAAATAACATATTCTCAAATGAAACCTACTCCTGAAATCTTTTTAATTTTTAATTTTTACAGTAATGCTAAATAATTTTAAAATCTCACTCTTAAAAATACCCACATTCATATGTAGTAAAGTAATTAGATATTAGTACAAACTTCACTTTATTCCCCAACTTGCACCCCAACCTTATTTGCCCAATCTCGACCTGAACATAACAGGTTGAACCCAAGCTAGATTTGAATTGCCCACAAATCTAAGTTTTTTGTTTGGGTTCATTACACTAAGACTTCCTCAATTATTAGTGAATATCACTTTACTTCCTTCATCTATGAACCCACATATATTAATCCCTCAATTATGGAAATCGTACAAATACATTCCTTTTAAAGGTGATTTAGAAGGAGTGGAAGCGATACATTTTTATAATTAAATGGGTTAAGATGTACAATTTCATAAATGAGAGAGGCAAAATAATACTCGCTAATATTTGAAGAAGTTTTGGTATACATAATCCTTTTTTTAATCGTTAAGTTGATTAATTTGTTAAAGTTAGACTTAGGCCTCGTTTGGCAACCGAACTTTTTAGGCAAAAAGTCAAAAAATTACTATATTAGCTAAAAAGCCAACAACTCATACAAAAAAGTCAAAAATTCTCTTTTCTCTCTACTTTTTGCACATCTTTTCATAAAAAGTCAAAAAGTCATCCCAAACATACTAGTTTTTTTTAGTTCATATTTTAGCCAAATAACTAAAAAGTTACTAAATTAGCCTGTTCCCAAACAATGCCTTACTAACAAATTTTTTTATTATAAATTAAGTAATTATAAATAAAACTTATATGATGAGATAGAATGGAGGTGATTCTTTCTAGGGGTGTAAAATTGGCCCGCGAGGTAGAGGGCAGCCCGAAAGCTCACCCGCAACTTGGGTGGACTTGGCCCGATTAGGCTCAGCTAGGCTTGAGCCCGAGCCCAACTTGAGACCTTGGGCTTGGGCCTGAGTCGCTTGTTCTACAGCTCAGCCCACTCTAGGCCCATTTGAGACTTGACCTGCCCAAGACCCGATGTCATTTCTAGTGAAAAAAATAAAAAAATAAAAAATAAAAAAAATTGATCAAGCAGAACCCAAGCCTACTGGACCGAATTCTAGTAGGAGCCCGCGTGCCCTGACATGGAGCGGGTTGGTTTGGGCCAAATTTACACCCCTAATTCTATGCTACCATGGCTTTACATGTACATCGAGATTCGTGATTAAATACACACTTCTATTTTTTTGTATCCAAATTCAATATAACTTTGGTTATTAAACATGAAGATATTCAGTTCACTCTTCTTTCTTTAATTTTTTTTTTCTTTTTCTTTTTCTTTTTCTTGGAAGATAGAATGGCACAACTTGAAAAAAGTAAGGCCAGAAAGGCAACACTCAAGATATGGAGGAGGGAAGCAAAAAATACATATTGTATTGTACATTTCAATAGGCTGTGAGATTTTTTAAATTCTGGGCAGCTTGAAAATTTCAAGCAACAATAACCATGTCAACCTGTGATTTCTCACTTTTGACACACAACTATTGATAAAATAGGCATAAAGCAGCACACGTGTACACATTTCAAATTCTGGGCACCTTGAAAGTTTAAAACAGTACCCACATCGACATATGACTCTTTTTTTGCACAACATAACTGTTAGTAGTTAAATTATAACGTAAGACAATATCTCTCCATAGACTCAAACCTGAAAACTTCACTCACCTTGGCACCCAAGTGCCCTCTCCATGGCCACTTGAGTAATTGTCCGGGATCGGCATTTGATTTCTCACCTGACACATAATGATAGGAAATTGATGAAGCAATCCAAATCCGTATATCCACCTTTTTATATACAACTATGCTTATATACTCCATACGTCAAGATGATACAACTTTCAAAAAGTGGTTGAAAGCCCCTATGAATCAGTATATCACAAAATGATACATTTGCTTATGTCCAAATCAATGGGAACTATGATCTCACTTTTTCATACTTCAAAAACTACTGGCAAAATTTTCAAACTGATGAAAAGTCTGAAGGAGATGCTCCATAATTTTCAAATGCCATGCCCACAAGACAGTGACACAAAAGTTTGCGATTGACGTGTGCTCATGACAATTTCTTCTTCCTTAATTTGTAAGATCATAACCCCTTGATCTTTTCAAGCTCAAAATATCTCAAAATTTAATATAAAAGACAAGGTGAGAGCATTACCTACTACAATATTGTTAGTACTCAACAAATAGGAAAGTGGTAGACTAAAATAACCACCTGCAATGCATGTGCACACATTTCAAATTCTAAACACTTTTTTAGATTTTTTTTCTAGGATGTAGCATTTGAGAGAGAGAGAGAGAGAGAGTGAGAGAGAAAAAAAACACATGTATTGGCAACCATTGCCTTCTTAACCAATCCATCATAGCAAATCTACAATTTCTATATGTAATGGAAATGAATGGTAAAATTCTCGTGACTACTTTGCGTTAAACAATATTAATCCGTGTAAGAATACATGGCAATATATCAGGATTGTTCTTATCTACAATTCTGAGAACATGTTCACAGAATTTAATAATCATAACATGAAATTTACACAAAAAATGATCAATAAGACAAAGTAGAAAAAGTATCCAAGTTGATATTGTCTAATGTCTGCCAAGATTGAAAAAGTAACAAGGTTAACAAAGATGTTTTTGTACCTGGCGGATGACTGGGAGCAACATAGTAATCCATGGCTACCTATCCTTCAAAGAGAAGCATCTATTGATGATGCTAACCATTCAATAACCATACATCTGAATAGAGGTGGACAAACCAATACACAAGCATGGGCATTAAAAGCCAGTATTTCTTGCTAAGATCGTAACTTGTGGCGACCACGAAGATGTTGACATGGATTCTACTTTACCTTCTAACCAAAAATCAGGCGGTCCTTTGATTTTGATTCTCCTTTACCTTCAATGTATGACAAAAGCTCAAGAAAATATTAACTATATGGTGTAACTCTCAACAGGTCTGAACCAAACTAATTGCTACACTCACTCATAAGTCCTTAATGAATGACAAATCAGTTGCACAACAAATTCAAGTGGCTGAACTCATTTTGTTGAAAATGACCATGTAGAACCTTGAATGCATCTCTATGGACATCCAAAGAATCAGATCTACCCATGGGCTTCACAAGGGTCAAAAACCCACCACAGACTCCAAAATGACAAGTTACTTCACAGAGGTGAATGACTTTATGTATGCCTCACCTAAATGGCTCACACCCCATACGGTACAATACAAGACATATACATTTTTTTTTAAAATTTCAAGTAATAGGAAATAATATTTGTTTTCACACAGCAGGGATTACCTAATAGGGGTTTCATGAGGGATCAAACCCACCACATATCAAAAAGGACTAGTCTAATCTTCAGGGAGATGGACTACCATTTCTTGTATTCTTGATGCTTTAACAATACATGTAAGATTTTAGCCTGGCTACATTAGTTTAACTAGACTTGATAAGGTGATATTACAAATCCCTGGACTAATAGTCCATCCCCAGGTGTTTCATTTGGAATGGATTAATTCTTGGGATACTCACCCAACAATCTAAACTTATATTTGGAGAGAGTGAGGTTGGATTGGATCCAAAAACAAAAAAACCACACAAAAAAATAAACTTTCCCCCAAATAATGCAATTTTAGAGTCAAAATTCACCAAAATCTCATAAAATTAACACAAATATTCCTAAATTAACACCCAAAGAATTCACCAAATAAAAGCAAAATGAGAAGACAAAGAAACACCCAAAGGCAGGAAGTTGGTGGTGGTCTCTCGTGGCGTTGTCTGGGGTGCTTGATTTGTGGTCGAAATGGTTGGCAGCGGGAAGAAAGAGAGAAAAAAAAAGGTGGCCATAGGTGGCAAGGGTCAAAGGTGAAGGAGAGGGACACAGAGAGGAATAGAGGTGGCCGATAGTGGTAGGGTCAGAGATGACGATGGAAAGAGAGAGTAATAGAGATGAGGGAATGGAAGCATTTTTGTCATTTAACACCCTTATCCCCTTCCCATTATTCCATGATTATTTATACCACCTCCCCTGTGGTTGATTTATTTTGAGAATGAGGGATAAAAGTTACTATTCAGAATAGTTGTTACTGACAGTCATGCTAGTTTGGCAGTTTCTGTGAGTCAAAACTATTGACTCAATGTGTAGGGTTTTGGGCTTGGTTGTAAGAGTAACTAGGTTAGGTTTGTTATTTTGAAGTGTATGTTTGAAGATTGGCTTGTGCAAGTTGTTCCATTACACAAAGGCAAAACTGCAAATGTGCCTGAAAGATTGAAAAATTGAAAGTTTAATTTGAAATTCTAAATTTGCTTTCCTCCTAACAGAAGAGTTTCAAGCTGTCACCTTTATGGAAAATATGATGGAGAATAAAAGGGGAAAACTAATCGACTCAGTTGATCACTGTCACACCAATTCAAACAGATACAGATGCACTACTTTGCAAGTAATTACAAATAATACATAGAATTAGTGATGATGCATTAGCATGGTGAGTGAAGAAAGATCGTACACTAATAAACCTCTATAATGGATACATACACCTTTAGGACAGAAAAAGTTAACACACTGACCAATTTCATTCTTAAAAAACCAAGCAATTGAGATTATGAACCGATAAAATGGTTTCTGGTGTTTCAATAGAGCTTTTTGTAATTATTCATAAAAGCCCAAAAAGTGTACTGGTTCTTCAATTATTAGTCTATGCTTTGTCCTTCGTGATGCCAACCTTTGGAAAACAAAACCTATTGTGGAAACTAAAAAAGGTTGAAGATGCAAACCAATAGGACACAAAAAGAATTAGAAGATGGAGAAACCTTGAGACCTCCTTCAAGTAATATTTATGAAGCACAAGTAAAATATGAATTTTTCCCCAAAAGGAAGACAGATTAATTACCCAAAAAAAAGGCAGAGATTCGCCACTAACCAGAATCCCAACTCCTTCAGAAAGAAAGTTTGTAAATCCCACTGAGAAAGGGAACCCCGTATAGTAAATACAGTGTCACCAAAATCAAACACCTCAGCAACCCATCACAGCACAATTATAAACAAAACTTCCTGAATGCTTGCTGGCCAGCAAGCTCCACTGTGGCGGACCTTGATCTGGCACCCAAGCATTAACCTCTATCATCCCTCCACCTAAAGCCCTAGGTCCACCAATAACAATAAGCCGGTCTCCGCATGCCCTAAACGCTAGCCCCCAACCATTCATGGAGACTGCTCGTTCAGGCAACCTCCCCACTGTAACCCACAGATTCCTTGCCTTGTCATACTTCCTCACTTCCTTTTCTGCATGATAAGCTGCATATAGCTCATTCTTCACAACTGCAAGCAGAGGAGGTGCCTTGGCTGTAGCCGGTGTCTCAGTCGCCCCAGCCTCTATGTTGCGTGCAGGGAACATATTAGGAATCTCACGCCATGATCTTGTCTCCAAATCATACACCTCCCCACATGTAAGCAAATTTGGATTGCCTACTCCAATTCCTCCAATAACATAAAACTTCCCATCCATAAACACCCCAGAACACATTTTCCTTGGTTTATTCATGCTTGGAAGAGTCTCCCATGTACCAGTATCTGAGTTATAAAGCTCTGCTGAGCGCAAGATATTGCCCTCTGGGTCACAACCTCCTGCAACAATTGCAATTTCCCCAAGACTTGCAGACCCAAACAAGCATCTTGGTTCATTCATCCCTGTACCCAATGACCATGAGTTTGTCAATATGCTATATCTGTAAATCACATGGGACCTAATCTCCTTTCCAAATACAAGAAGTTCGGTACCAACAGCCAATGATTCCTTGTCTGAACACATGAAGCATTCATTTGATGTCATTCTAGGTAAATGCATCCATTGAAGGCGAATGGGATCGAAAGCGTCCCATTCAAGAAGGGTGCACGAGAAATAAACCCAATGTTCAATAATTCCCATCTGCCGCCTCAACCTGTATAGCTCACCACTCCGAATTAGAGACCTAAAGCTTCGATTCAATGAGGCAATCAAGCCATAATCTGATCTTGAGCATCGGAGTAGACAATTAATAGACATATCTCGGCCAATTTGGTGTATGAATGAACTTGTATCCGATTGATCACCACCGTGACCTTGATTATCTGGTCGGTTGGCTTGAGAGAGTGAAAGATCACAAAACCCCTGCATTGTTTCCTCTCTCTCAATGACATCTGACGACTTGGGTGACTTTCTCAGAGAAATCCCTCCACCATCTTCCAAACGGCGCTTACGATTTGAAAATTCAATCACACAGAATGTATTGTAAATCCACTTACTCTCATGCTCGCAGGAACTGGGTAGTTCCCGGGAGACAAGAAATCCAGGACCTTCCAACATGACACTGCTTGAGTCTCTTCCTCATCAAAATTAAACCGAAACCAATGAGAATACTATTCATCAGTTACTATGAGCACAAAACCATATATTCAGCCGATAAAAATGAGAATAAGTCAAGAAACCACATATCCAATTTAGAAAACAGATGCATACTAAAAAACCAGCAGAAATACACATTTTAGGCAAACAAAAAATCTGGTAACTTTTTTAATCAATGCACGAATCTCAAATAAAACAAACTACTGAAGAAATTTTTTTTTTCAAATACCACAATGTAAATTTCTATCTTAAAACCAATCATAAACCAATCCTTATGCATCAAATTCATCAATAATGAAAACAATCCAGTAAATAAATCAATAAAAAATTCTAAATGAACACAAATAGAAAGCAAGCTAGTAAAAAGCCCTAGAATCACCAAATCAAAAATTACCCAGTAATCTAAATATCAAAAATTCAATCAAATTCAATCCTTTAAAAAAAAAAAATCTAAAATTAAAAAAAAGAAAAGAAGAGGAAAGATCTATTTCCAATTGTGATCAGATAAGAAGCTGCAAGTGCAGTTCTTAGTATTCACTTCCTGGCCTGAGATTGAACAAAACACACATACAGGACCAATCAAAAGGGCATTCAAATCGAAAATTGGATAAGAAAAAGCAAGAGAACTTACCAATTGTATTGTGAAGAGAAGGACTTGATTGCAATTAAGTTGAGTATTCTTCTTCTCAGTCTCTCTCTCTCTCTCTCTCTCTGCAACTCAAACACCCCAAATCTCATATACAACCCAGCTATCTGACTCTCGCTATCTCTAGTTTACTCGCTCTATATTCCAATTCTCTCTCTCTCTCTCTCTCTACTCTTTCATTTGTCTGGTTTTATTGGAAGGGAGGTTTATATAGATTTAGCAATTAACGGAAAGGAGGGGAGGTGGTGGTGGTGGGCCCCAAATGGCTAGGGTGTGTTTGGCTCCGGCCGGGCTACTTTGTCTTTTAGTCAATTTTTTTTTAAAAAAATGAGTAGTAAATCAATTTGTATTGGTTTGGGATGTGGATTGATTTTTTAATTTTTTTTGGCTATTAGTTTAGGACTAAAAAGTTTTGTTTCAGATGAATTTTTTTTATTTTTTTAACTTTTGTAAGAGAAAAAAAATTATAATTTGAATATAATATTTTGTCTTATTAATTTTTTAATTTATTTTGTTAGCTAAAATAAAAATAAAAAAAATCTTATGTCAAAACAAGCCATATTCATTATAACTCATTTACATTTTACCTCATGAATTTTAAAACATAACGGTTAATCAATTTGAAATATTATGCTACTTTCTCTGTCTCAAAATAATAATTTCTTTTGAAAAATCTAATTTTTTTTGATAGTACAACTATTGCATTTAAAAAAAAATTGATTTTTCAAAATTACATCTTGATAGTGTATTTTTTGGGGAATATCAATATCATAATTATACTTTTTATGTTGTTAATAAATTTAAAACGATGACAAAATAGAAAATTTATTTTATTTTTGTGCTTGATTTTTAAAAATGGACTAATATTTTGAGACAATAAAATATAAAATAAAAAATTAATATTTTAAAACGGAAGCAATATTACACTTAACACATTTCATTAAAATTCGATTAGACATTGAAATGGAATCAATTCATATCTTCCACACTTTAGACATTGAAGGAGTGTTACTGATTTTTTAAAATAATAGTACTCATTATTGATTTTTTTTAGGATAACATCTTTTGTTGGTAGTCTCATTTTCAATTTGTCTATTTTATCTTGGCGGAAAAGTGCAAACGAAACTACTAGATAAGGATATTAGTGTCCTAAAAATTCAATAAATATTTCATGTGCTTTACGTATGATTTTATTTTGTGTAAACCTTTAATAGAATTTTAACGGAAGGGGTTAACAGTAATAAAAATAATTCTTTAAAGCCGTTAAGTGTTAAATTTTAAAGTTTAGGGACAAAATGTAAATAAGTCATAATTTTAAAAGATTTACTATAATTTATTCATAAATTTATAGATCTAATTAAATATTAAAAAAAATGCAATACAACAATAAACGAAACAATATGAATACAATTTTTACTCTTAAGACGGTAATATAAATCTTAAATCTTAAACCCTAAGCAAATTATTTGAATTTGACTCATATTTTCTTTGTTTAAATCTCATTTGAAATTAATTTATTATATAATTATTTGAATAATTATTGGGTGAAACACTAATAAATCTGAAATATTGATTTTATAAACTGTTTGGTCCTTCATTTTTTTTTCTTATTATGGACCTAAAGGTCACATTCTAGTGCGAATTACATTTACGATCAAGTATAAACGCGTGTATATTATGTGTTGAGAGACAAACGTGAAATTTTTTAAAATGTTAAAATTACTAAACGTAACACTTTGAAACACTAATAAATCTAAAATATTGATCTTATAAACTGTTTGGTCATTCTTTTTTTTTTTTTATAGACCCAAATGTCTCATTCTAGTGTGAATTATATAAAGGGTCAAGTATAAACGCGTGTGCATAATTTGTTAAGGGATAAATGTGAATTTTCTTATAATGTTAAAATTACTAAACATAACATTTCAAAAAAATTTCTTATCATATTTTTTCCAAACGTAACACTCCAAAAACATAACACTCCAATATAACACACTTTTCAACAGTATGTATTTAAGAAAAAATTATAAATTAGGTATACTTTTCCAAAATAATGACATAAATATAGAAAAGTTTATCATTTTAATAATTAAAGTTTACAAATTTTATTATTAATCTGAATTTTCTTTTCAACCCTACATTGATTTATCATTTCTCTTATATTTAACTATTATAGGGCGAGCTCACGATTAAAATAAACCTACACGTCACATTATTTTTTACCTTTTTTCATTTTTTGTAATAAATTTTGAGTTATTGGAGTTCTCTTTTTCAAAAATATTTCAAACTATGTTATTTTTTTGGTGATTTGAAAATAGCTTATAAATAAAAAAAAATTTATAAAATGTCCACAAAAATAAAAATAAAAATGGTTTGTGTTGCTTGGGAAAAGACGACATTGGCGGTAGCCAATGGGGAGAGAGAACAAAAAATCATTCAAATTTTTAGGAGGACTTACGTGTAGGGCTTAATAAATGCACTTATTATCCAATAAGTCCTTTGAAAATTAAAAGCATTTTTTGTTAAACACTTTTAAAAAAAAGTCACTTATTGTCAATTTTCAACTACAGTCTTAAAAAATTTTGTTATAAAAAATGTCACTAATGATAAGTTTTAGCGACTGTTTAAAAAATTTGTTACAAAAAAAATGTCATTAATTTTTAACTTTTAGCGACAATTTAAAAATTTTATCATAGAAAAACACCACTAATTGTAAGTTTTAGGGACAATTTATAAAAATCGTGACGAAGAAATCACTAATTATCAATTTTTGACAACATATGCAAAAATGTCTCAAAAAATTATTTTTAGTAACGATTTTATTAGGACTTATTTTCAATAGGACTTGGTAGAAATTAACTCTAACTTTTAGGACTTATTGGTAGTTTGCCCAAATTTTTATGGATGAGTGATTGTGTGATAGAGATTGTATAGTGTGAGATTCATATATAGAATAAATCTAAATCAGAAGATGATAATTCTCAATAATTTTTGAATCAACAATGCTATATGCCCCTAATTTACCACTTCTAAACCACCCCCTAATGATGTAGCATTGAGGTTAGACCTCACTTGATGGAATGTTTAACAAATCAAAATTTGACACTTCTCAAACACATCATTAAGAGTGATTTTTAAAAAAGATAAATGAGGTGTCTCATGCATTTTTCTTTATGAATAATTAGGCATGGGTTTGTATCATTGGAATGAGAAACGATCTCTTCCTTATTTTTTTCTCCAAGGAGGGGCTTTGTCTTGAAAGGTGTACTTATTTTCCGTATGCGTCTCCTTTCTGTAGCATTCCTCGTGTACTTTTTCTTGTACATAACCAAATCCAAAAAAAGAGTAAATAAATTACAAATACATCTGGTAAAGTTTACGTAAAACATGAATTACTCTTTATAGTTTAGGAAAGGGCAATTGGTCCAAAAGTTTAAGTGCTCAAACACATTGTCCAAAAGAATAAGCTCAAGCACAATGACTAAAATAACCTTCCCTATATATATATATATATCATATATACATCCAAAACCCTAACAAATCACACACTCTCTCTCTCTCTCTCTCATTTTCTCTCTCACTCTCACTCTCTTTTGTCCGTCTCCAATCTCTGTACCTCTTCTGTTGCTACTGCAACCACGTGAATTCTTATACTCGCTGTCCTTTAAAGACCGGTTGAGATTATTGCAAGCCTCATCGATGTGGTTCAAGTTTCGAGCTTACGAGCTACTGGAGATCAATGATGTAACGCCCCCAAAATAAACCCATAATATACATAACATTGACATGCATTAATAAAAGAAAACCAACCGTTATTTTATTCATCAGAGTATTCTTATTGAAAAACATTACATGTAACATCAAATTAAATGCCTTACGGGCTAACATCTTTCCAAGCCAACACTTGGACACAAAATATGAGTTCTAACTCAAATACAAATAAAGCCCTAGGCTTGAATGTTTACATGTAATATCAAATAAATAAATAACAACTAAACTAAACAGAGTCTTCAACTCCAATTCCTTCCAAGCTAAGTCCTTGGAGGTAGCTTATCACCTGAACCTGAAAATGATGTTCCCATAAAGGGTGAGCCACAGCCCAGTAGAAAAATACTAAACCAAATATAAGCATTGAATAAAGCTATAGCATTCAATAGATGGTCAACCAAGATAATCAATTGTGACTTAATACCGTCTCAAGACACTAATGTCTATGACATGTTTCAATTCCCCTTTATTATTAATATGGCTCAGAACCTGACCAAACTTACAACAATGAACTATATATCACATTCACATTACTTCCAATATCAACAAAATTAATGAGAATCAGGCTCATATTAAAACACTTCATACTTCCCGTTTGATACACATTTTAGTGCTGTATCAATAACATGTAAAACACTTCAATATAATAAGCACACATAATAGTGATGCTAATGGAGTCCATCCCCTATCTCCTCCCAAACAAAATTCCGGTTTAGAGGTCCATCCCCTATCTTCCCCTAAACCGTGGAGTACATCCCCTATCTCCTCCCAAACAAAATCCGATTTAGAGGTCCATCCCCTATCTTCCCCTAAACCGTGGAGTACATCCCCTATCTCCTCCCAAACAATATGCATATGCAATGCTCAATCAACACATGTATATTCTGTATTAATTCAATAGTCTAAATTTATGACTTAAACAAATTGATTAGTTTCAATTTTCCCTAATCCACATACAATGTCTACAACAAACACGACTATCCTCCACCGATAGCCCAAAACAGCTATTTCTAGACTGGAAATAAATATATCAACAATTCATTGGTCCAAAAGTCTAAGTGCTCAAACACTTTGTCCAAAAGAATAAGCTCAAGCACAATGACTAAAATAACCTTCCCTATATATATATATATCATATATACATCCAAAACCCTAACAAATCACACACTCTCTCTCTCTCTCTCTCATTTTCTCTCTCACTCTCACTCTCTTTTGTCCGTCTCCAATCTCTGTACCTCTTCTGTTGCTACTGCAACCACGTGAATTCTTATACTCCCTGTCCTTTAAAGACCGACTGAGATTATTGCAAGCCTCATCAATGTGGTTCAAGTTTCGAGCTTACGAGCTACTGGAGATCAATGACGAGTGCCGTCACCTCATTAGTCAGATCGGCTGCAACCATTGGAGGCACT